ACACACACATATGTATACACAATACATAAGATCACGATATATTGACACTGACTGTTAACAGGAGTAATTTGGGGATATGTAATAAGATAATGGACTTTCTTTTGTTTATCTGTTACCCAGATTTTATACAATGAACAAGTGTTACATTTATAATCAGTTTAATAGTGCTCAAACCTCTAAAAACATGTATTTTTTAAGTTGTAGGATTCTGTGACTCAATAGCTGTTATTAACAGTACACAGATGAAAATCTTTGGGACCAAATTTCTTTTTACTGATATAATTACATTTACCATTATATTAGTTGCAGACGTACAACATGATTTATACATGTATGTATTGTACGATGATCACCGTAAGTCCAGTTATAAGTATGTACATACACAGTAATGAATTTTTTTCTTGTGCTGAGAAATTCTAAGATCTACTCTTTTCGCAGCTTTCAAACATACAGTACGGTGTTATTCACTGTGTCACCATGCTGTGTGTTACATCATCAGGACTTATTTATATCATCCGAGCACCTTCACCCACTCCCCTCTTCCCACCTCTGGCTACAACCAGTCTGTCCTATCTATGAATTTGATTTTTTTTTCAATTTTACATTTAAGAGAGATAGTATGGTGTGTGTTTTTCTCTTATTTCACTCAGCATAAGACCAGTAAGGTCCTGTCTATTCATGTTGTTGCAAATGGCAGGGTTTTCTTTTTTATGGCTAAGTAATATTCCTATGTGTTCGTATATCACATTTTCTTTATCCATTCATCCAGTGATGGACACTTAGGTTGTGTCATCTTGGCTATTGTAAATAATGCTGCAGGGAATATGGGAGTGCAGGTTTTTCAAGTTAGTGTTTTCATTTCCTTCAGCTAAATACCCAAAAGTGGAACTGCCGGATCATACGGTAGTTCTGCTTTTAATTTGGCAGTGGGCAGGGGTGGGTGGGGGGGCTCCATACTGTTTTCCACAGTGGCTGTACCATTCTACATTCCCACCAACAGTGCGCGAGAGGCCCCTTTTCTCCACTTCCTTGACAACACTTGTTATTGTTTTTTTGATAATAGCCATTCTAACAAGTGTGGGTGATATCTCACTGTGGTTTTGATTTGCATTTCCCTGCTGATTAGTGATGTTGAGCACCTTTTCATGTCCCTGTTGGCCATCTGTATGTCCTCTTTGGAGAAATGTCAATTGAGATGCTCTGTCCATTTGTTAATTGGACTGTCTGGCTTTTTTGCTATTAAGTTATATGAGTTCTTTACATATTTCAGATAATAATTCTGTATCACATACAGGTATACCTCATTTTATTGTGCTTTGCTTCATTGAACTTTGAAGATAGAGTTTTTCACAAATTAAAGGTTCTGGCAACCTGGAACCAAGCAAGTCTATCGGCACCATTTTTCCAACATTTGCTCACTTTGTGTCTTTGTGTTACATTTTGGTTATTCTCTTGATATCTCAAACTTTTTCAGTATTATTTTTTATGATGATCTGTGGACAGTGATCTTTGATGTTACTACTATGACTCTCTGAAGTCTCAGATGATGGTTAGTATTTCTTAGCAATAAAGTATGTTAAAATTAAGGTATGTACATTGGTTTTTTTTTAGGAAACAACTTACTGAACACTTAGACTACAGTTTAGTGTAAACATACTTTTATATGCACTGGGAAACCAAAAAATTCATTGTGACTTGCTTTATTGTGATACTTGCTTTATCGTGATAGTCTAGAACCAAACCCACAGTATCTCCAAGGTACGCCATACATAGGATTTGCAAATATTTTCTCCCATTTCCTTTGCTGTGCAGCAGCTTTTTAGTTTGATGTAGTCTCAGTTGTTTGCTTTGGGTTTCGTGTTTGCTTTTGGTGTCAAATCCAAAAAAGGCTTCGCCAGAACCGACATTAAGGAGTTTACCACCTATGTTTTTCTCTGTTTTTATGGTTTCAGGTTATACATTTGAGTCTTTAATCCACTTTGAGTTGACTTGTGTGTATGTGGCCATCGTTTTCACATCAGTATTTACCGAAGCGACTGTCTTCTCACCCAGTGTATATTCTGGGGTCTTTTGTCGTAAACGGACCATTTATGACAGCCCTCCATCATTGCAGTGGGCACTGCAAGCTGCTGCTTTTGCTTTATAGACCTGTCGTATCTAGTAGTCTCTGGTTATTTAACTGTTATTTAAATTTCAATAACTGAGTTGTTCAATCACTCTAGCTCCCTTTCAAGTGCTCAAGGGCCGTATGTCGGTGGCAGCTACCAGACAGCAGTGATACAAAATACTTCCCTCATCACAGAATATTCTCTTGGACGGCCCTTTTTAGACTCTCGAGAGATCATGGAAGATGTGAATGAACTGAATGAAATTCTTTTGGCGTTCAAGTAGATTTTAGGAGGCTGAAGTTTTCTGTCAGTTGTCGAGTCTGGAATTCTGTAGCGCTGCCTCTGATGACTGCCCTTTTAAAACATGAATGTTACAGGACCATTCTTTTGTTGGTGGAAAATATGAGAAGTGCAGTTCTGGACAAGTCTGTTGTAAACACTCTTAAAGTCTTTCCTGTTTTACGTTGTCCTTCAGCTTGCTAATACATACACCTAGACGCTGTCATATCCAGAAAGCATTCCAGTGGGTGACATATAAACACAGATAAGCTCCTGCAGTGAAAGCTGGTGATGGTTGCTGGGGTAAAGTGGTCAGAAACAAACACAGGAAAGGGAGCTCTTAAGGTTTCTATCTGACATTTTGAGGAAATGGCTTCATAGAGTGAAGTTTTGTAGCACCACAAACAAGTCAGCAGAGAGCACCCAAAATTGTGATTCTCATAGACACGATGTTACATGGGGAATCAATTTTATAGCTGGTTTAGAGAGTGAATTACTTAAATTCTAGAGGTGGTGTGAAGAAACAGGATAGCTTTCATCAGCTTGCTGACTTGTAGACCTTAACCTGAGGGCTCACTTACCTGCCTTGCTGCTGAAGAAACAGTGTAGCATTCTACTTTATCTGGTCTAAAAATACTCTTAAGTAATCAAAACTCTTGCTTAACCTTTCACAGCGGAAGTTCAGAGTGAAATTGAAAGGATTTTTGAACTTGCAAGAACACTGCAGCTGGTAGTCCTTGACGCAGACACTATTAACCATCCAGCCCAACTGAGTAAAACCTCTCTGGCCCCTATTATAGTGTATGTGAAGATTTCTTCTCCTAAGGTAAGGAGGGTTGTGACTGCTCTGTAATTAAACTTTCCTAAAAATGGTGGTTTATATTCTGCTTCCCAGTTATAAACAGGTTATGTCCGTATCCAGCACGAAGGGTTTGAAGAGAGACGCGGTACTCAAGAATTGTTCAGATTCATATAAGCAGAGCATGATGATTAGTTTCCTGGCTTAGAAAAGTGATTCCCAAAGTGTGGGCCATGGACTGCTGGTGGTGGGACGTTTCCAAGGCACTTCCAGTGTCCACGGGGTCAGAACCATTTCCATGATCACACTAAGACACTGTCCTTTTTCACTGTTGTGATATTTGCACTGATGTTAGAAGCAGAGGTGGGTAATGTCTGGGAAGGAATCAAGACCATGCCAGTGCTAACGGCATTGTGGTCTTCCTCACCATGTCCTCACAGTTAAAAAAGTTTCACTTAAGAATAGCCTGATGAAGCAGTAAAATTTATTAATTTTATGAAATTTTGACTCATGAATACAAGGCTTTTAAATAGTCTGTGTAACGAAACGTGAAGTACACTTTAAGCTCTTCAGCTACGTACTAAGTTATCTGGAGAACAAGTTACTGGTGTGATGATTTGAGTCGTAAACTGAATGAGCCACTTGGATCATGGAACACCATTTTTATTTGACATGCCTGCTGAGACCCATTCAAATGTCAAGATAGATCAATGGAATTTAATTAACAGGGTAAGAAAAGTTCATTGATGGGTTTCAGACTTCACATGGCAGCTAGTCTTTTCAAGAAAAAACTACCATTTGTTAACTGTGGTATCAAAGAAAAATAAGGCTATATTTTCTTTGTATATTTCAACCAAAACAATATACCAAAGCAGATTCAACGTAGAGGCAGGAAACTTCAGCTGTTTTCTGTGAAGCCAGGCATTGGAGAAATCTGCAAATAATTTAGCTGTTTTTATCAGGAGTGAGTAGTCAATGTTAACATGTAAACAGGTTTATTGGTCATTTTAAAAGGAATCAGTATTTTTTTAATGTCTTTTTTAATTTCTAATATGTAAATATTAGGTATAGTTCACATAAAATAAAAAAGCTCTTTGGAGTTTGCAATAATTTTTTAAAACAGAAGTCATGAGACAGAAAGTTTGGTAACTGCTGGCCTTGAAAAAAGACAAGACTCCCCAGGATGAGCTCCATGCTGGTGATCCTTTTTTTGAAGCTTGAAACTGAGATTAACATGTTCGTTTTGCAGTTAATCTTCAATATATTTTCAGTTCAATAATTCAACCTAATACAAAGCATTTGTGCTGTATGGAAAAGGCCCCGGATAAAAGAGTGAATGTTGAACCTTGTCGTTTACCTGAGTACAGATATTCTCATTTAAAAATCTCATCTTTTACAGGTTTTACAAAGGTTAATAAAATCTCGGGGGAAATCTCAAGCTAAACACCTCAATGTCCAGATGGTAGCAGCAGATAAGCTGGCTCAGTGTCCTCCGGTAAGTCTTCTCTATTCAGTGTAATCCACTCGGAGGCATCAGACCTGGCATTCTGTTAACAAAAACCAGACGGACAGGTAAATGCCGGTCTGGGGGGAGAATGCTCTCCATTAGCAGTGGTCTTCACTCCAAAGAAGAGAACTGTCCACCTCTTGCCGTGAGCACCTGTCTAGGTCACGATCGTGACTTATGAATGGCTACGGTTTGTTTGGTGGTGACTTCACTTTGTTAATATCTAACACCTACTTAGTATCTTAAATGAGACAAGATTGTGGTTTCAGAAAATACTTGGTTTGAAAGATGGATCTTTTCGGGGTCCGTCTGTTATTCACTTCTAATCAGGGAATGAGTTGCTGGCTCTTAATAACCGTCTAAGAAATTGATCAGAGATATTATAAAAACAAATTTCAAAACCAGTCAGTTACCCAGATTCGGACACCTGAACACACTGCTTTATATAGCATGCTTTGGGTTTTTGTTTTGGCTATTCTAAAATGAAGGTTGAGCAGAAGCTTTAAGAATTATGCTTATATCCACTTATGATTATTTGGAGTATGTTAACATTTATAAGAACTTTGTTTTGAAGTTTGGACCAGGTCAAATCATTAGTGGTTTCAGCTTTTTCTGCCAAATTTCATGACCTAACCCTGCCTCAGTCATCTCCCAAGATTAAGGATTCCACGGGCTCTATGTCAAAAACAGGCTTCTTCCTGTACTGTTTGGCTTGCACTCCTATTTTCCTACATCTTTTTTTTAACGTAGTATCTATTCCTTTCTTCATGATTGGCAACTTTTCTGTCATGCCCTGAACAACTATTATTACATCGGTTAAGCATGTATGTTCTAAACAAGGATCTGAGGACACACACTTGTAATCTGACTAAATAGGACAGTCAGCCAATCTGAAAAGTAGGGGCACGTAAGCAAGAGCAGAGACAAAGCGGTGAGGTTCTTGGGCCCCTTCCTTCCTCCGCCCTGTGTTGGGGGAGGTTTGGGGCACATGTGTGACGTTCAGTCTGTAATGGGCCGGTGTAAACGTGCCCTTTGAAATGTCTGCCTCCACAGGAGTTGTTTGATGTGATCTTGGATGAGAACCAGCTCGAGGATGCCTGTGAGCACCTGGCCGACTACCTGGAGGCCTACTGGAAGGCCACGCATCCCCCCAGCAGCGGTCTCCCCAACCCTCTCCTCAGCCGGACTTTAGCCACTTCAACTCTGCCTATCAGCCCCACGCTAGCCTCCAACTCACAGGTAAGGGAGCTCTTTTCTACCGACTAGCAACGCGGCTGCCTGGGGTCACATGGCTGGGAGGCAGGCCCAGAAGTCCAGCACAGTGCTTGTTCCAAGCGGGCAGCTCTATCCAGAATGAGACGAACCCGAGTTGCTTACGTCCATCTCCAGCGTGCGTTGTGTGCCTGCAGAAAAGCAGAGTAAATAGAGTCCCGTGAACATGTAGAAACCGTAAAATTCCCTGTCCCCATATTCTGTTAAGACAGAGATAGAAAAACCATCTCCGCGGTCAGCAATACAGACCATGGACTCAGACTGCCTGGGTTCAAATCCCTCGTCATCTCTTCTCAGGTGTGTGCCCTTGGGAAAACCCTTACCTGCTCTTTGCCTTCGTGGGGCTGTTGTAATTAACTATCTCATGTCATTCTTTTCTCATGAGACTCTCTTGTTGTATTTTACAGGGTTGTTATATTAATGAGTTGCTATATGTGACTTCTTGGGATAGTGCTGGTCTCATATTAAGTGCCATTTAAGCATTCGACATGATTTTTTTTCCCCTTAAAACCAACATCCTAAGAATTGAATCTTCCCACGTGTATTCAAGCAAAGGTAGTTAAGTGTACACCCATGTATAGATAGATCTCAGGGACCTGTGTGTCTTTGAACCACAAGAGAACATATAAAAAAATTCTCCCTCCTTAGTCTTTTTTTTTTTTTAAAGAAAACTTACTCTGTACGCTGTTCTATGCACTTACAAGTTAACAAAGTCTTATTATAAGCAACATGGATGTCCCTGGAGAACATCACTCTAAGTAAGCCAGAAAGAGAGAGAAAAATACCATATGAGATAGCTCATATGTGGGAATCTAAAAAAAAAAAAAAGAAGAACATAAATACAAAACAGAAACAGACTCATAGACATAGAATAAAAAGTTGTGGTTGCCAGCAGGGAGGGATGGGGGAATGGACAGACTGGAGTTCGAAATTTGTAGGTACTGACAGGTGTGTATATATATAGAATAGAAAAACAAGATTATACTGTATAGCATAGGGAAATATATACAGGATCTTGCGGAAGCTCACAGTGAAAAAGTATGCAACAATAAATATATGTTCATGTATAACTGAAAAATTGGGTCCTACACTGGAAACTGACACAACATTGTAAACTGACTATAACTCAATTAAAAAAATCATAAAGTCCAATATAGTACAAACTTTATAAATGCCACTGCATGTTATCAAGAGAATGAAGCGACTGAGCTAGGTCAGATTTCATTTGAGATACTTTAAAAAGGGACTAGACTTGAATGGGCTTGCCTGTGTGACAGGGCCTTAGACTCGGACCTTGGCTGAGGTGTCTGCTCCCTTCTCCTCCAGGGTTCTCAAGGTGATCAGAGGACTGATCGCTTGGCTCCCACCCGTTCTGCTTCCCAAGCTGAAGAAGAGCCCTGCCTGGAACCAGTCAAGAAACCACAGCACCGCTCCTCCTCCTCTGCACAGCACCACAACCACCGCAGCGGCACCAGCCGAGGCCTCTCCAGGCAGGAGACGTTGGACTCGGAAACGCAGGAGAGCCGAGACTCGGCGTACGTGGAGCCAAGGGAGGAGTACCCCCACGAGCACGCAGACCACTATGCCCCTCACCGTGACCACAGCCACCGAGATGAGAGCCACGGGAGCGGGGAGCACAGACACAGGGAGCCCCGGCACCGGGCCCGGGACCCAGATCGCGAGCAGGACCACAACGAGTGCAACAAACAGCGAAGCCGCCATAAATCCAAGGATCGCTACTGTGACAAGGATGGAGAAGGGATATCCAAGAGACGGAATGAGGCTGGGGACTGGAACAGGGATGTTTACATCCGCCAATGACTTCTGGCCCTTTTGCATTTTGTCTTTTTTTTTCTTTAAGTCTTGTATCCCACCACCCTCAAACTCATCTTTGGGGTCTACACTGCAATCATATGTGATCTGTCTTGTATATTTTGTATTGCTATTGCTTGAATAGCAATAGCATGACATAGAGTATTAATATACTTTTTTTTTTCCTTTTGTAAGTGCTATAGAAATTCGCCTGGAACGGCTGCAGTTCTCCGGTTGTATACTGGACTTTTCAAAAACTGTCTGGGATAGCTGCCACTTGAACAAAAGCTGTTGCCATCCAGGTGGCTGTTAGTATTTTAAGAAGCATAGTTGACGTTTTCAAAAATGTAGCTGACGTATCCAGCAGGCCAGAATTGGCCCAGCTAAAAAGTGGAATTTCTTGATTCTCCAGATTTTTAACATGTAGGCACCTGATTTGCATAGTCATCCATGGACCACTGTTTCTTGCTTGTACCTCTGGCTGACTAAATTTGGGGACAGATTCAGTCTTGCCTTACACAAAGGGGATCATAAAGTTAGAATCTATTTTCTATGTACTAGTACTGTGTACTGTATAGACAGTTTGTAAATGTTATTTCTGCAAACACCTTCTTATAATTATATATATATAATATATATATATTATATATATATATATCAGTTTGATCTCACTATTTTAGAGTCTTAATGCCAAGTCAGCAGATTTGCTTTATGAATTACAGGGACTAGAAATGCCCACATTCAGGAAATTTGTAATAACATCGTCTAGACGCCCCTCCCCATTCTCGTAGAAAGCCTGTACATACTGTAAATACATGTGACTGCCTGACTTGAAAAGGTTTGATTTCTGAATGTTTTACCATCCTTGTAAGTTTATCATTTTGACCATAAATTAAGGTAAATGTAACCAAACTCCAAAGGTTGTTCTACTCCATGCAGTTCACACTGACTGTGACAAACACCTCCTTCGTAGCTAGTGTCTGAGGTCACAGCACTGGAGTCTATGAGCCGGAGCTCTGTGTGCGCCTGCGTGTGTCTGGGTGTGTACGTGTGCGCGTGTGCGAGGCGGACATGGACCTGAATGAATGCCGAGGACTAATGAAGAAACCAGCGACCGTCCCCCGAGGAGCCCCCCCACCTGGCTCTGCGCCACCGGGATCCAGGACTGCGAGGAAGCTCGCTGCCAAAGGGGACTCGGGGCGCAGCCGCCCGCAGGCTCCTCGTTTCTGCTCCGAGAGCGTAAGACCTACCGGCAACTTTTAACTGTGAGTGTTTCACTGGAAATGTACAATCCTCTGTGTTCAAGTATTTGTTTTAGGAAGAAACGTTTACACAGCTTGTAGAGTTATTTTGTGGGAAAATAAATTTTTCTAACTTCTCCCACTTCCTTTCCCAGCCTCGCCAGCGTTCCTGTTGTCCCCCAAGCCCCACTCCCACCCCCCCAGTTTACCTCTCGGTACGTCCCCCACCACCGACTCCGTGAGTTTCACTGTCCCACAAAACCCCGAAGTGCTTCTTAGAACCAAAGCTTCTGCTCTTCAGAAGAAATCAGGGCAAAACGAGGTGACCTGAAGGAAACGAAATGTTGAGAATATTTTCCTCCATCAGACAACTCTGAAGGGGAAACCAGCAGATATGTTCTCCATGGACCACGAGGTGGCCGTCACGCTGAGGCTAAAACCTCCTGCGTCCCTTACATGTCCATCTGTCCAGCTATGACTAGACAGGTCAGACAGTATTAGGTGTGCAAGGACCTAGCACTTGAAGTTTGTCCCTGGAAAATGCCTATCTATGATTGCCTACCTTCAGATCTGTATATTCTGTAATTATTTTGTTAAGTAAGTTACTCTATTTTTTTGTTTTGCTTCTTTGCTTATCTCAGATTCTTGCCAAATATTCTCGGACCTTTATAAGTAAAACTGTTTCACATTTAACTCCTTACTCCCCTCCCCCAAAGAAAACTCAGAGTTTTAAAAATGAGTTACATATATGTAATGTTTTAGCAGCTAATGCAGGAACCATTTCCGCCAATTTGTTACTTAGCTCTGTACTGTTGACATATCTTTATTTATTGAATATGAAAACAGCAGTCATAATATATAAATTTTGATGTAAAATATTCACATCATTGGGAAACCATATTCCCATGAAAGTTACTTTTATAAAACATTTCCAATTAACTTTCCATCACAGTAAGAGGTTGCTGATCACCAGCCCCATCCTTTCCTATGTGAAATTTCATCCCAGTTAATGACTTTGAAATACTTAAATCCTTGAAGTATAACTGGTATGAATTTTTTTGCTGCTACCATTAATCCCTTTCAAAGAGTCACGCTAACAGATTGCTTTTTTAAATACTGTATCTGGATTCTTCACTTGTCACTTTACTGTGAAACACATTAGTCCAAATCAGAGTATTCCTCAAAAAACTATATTGCAGGATTTGACGTAAGAGCCTCTACATGTGAAAAATGTGTATCAGATGTATGTGTAAACAGTGTGTACTAAATATGTAAACGAAGAAACCATCCCAAGGATGGGATGGGATATTTACTGACTTGTGGAATGTAAAATTCTAGTCTTTTCACACAGCAAAGGCTTAAATCTTAACCCACTCAGTTGCAGAACTATGATTCCTGTAGTTAACCTAGAAAATGCTGGAAATGTTAAGAGTTCTATGTTTTGTTGTCAACCCCATTTCAGCTTCTCCTATGCGCTTCTCTACTGCTCACTGAAGTTCCTGTTACAAAAAGGTGCTGCTAAGTGTAGGATGTCTTAGTTATACTGTACTTTGGGACAATGCCACATTTTAACATGGTCTGCTCTGCATTCATGTTAAACATTCACTGTCAGCTACACTGAACTGTTCAACTAACCTGGTTTAAAGTCGTTCATGTAAAACAAATAAAGAGCTGGCTTCTGCACTGTTTATAATTAGTAGTATTAATTGCCATTTTAGGAATGATTCTTAGAGCTGAAGATAGGCTAAATGTTCAACAACACTTGGCACTTGTGGTGCATCTTCCTTGGGGGGGGAGAGGTGAGCAGTGCTGATCGCAGCTGGACTGTGCTCACTTCCTGTCACATCTGCTAACACGACAGCTTACGGTAGGTACAAGCTCTTCTAAAGTATGAGGCACAGCACAGGAAACTTCCTCCCACCTGCATCCTACATGTTCAGCAATTCTGGACTCAGATTTTGAATTGTATTTTTCATTTTTAAAATGAAGAGCCATTGTGATGCCAAATCGAATTCCTCACCCCCGGCCCTTTGCTCGGTGATGTAATGCTGCTAGTCTCGGGTACTCTGATCTCATTAATGCATCCAAAGTTACACTGTTGGAGAAAACAGCTAATTAGATGATTCGGGGGGCAGTTGTTTAATTTTGGCCAAGCTCTATTTTTTTACTATTTGTACTTTACAATTTAGACTAAAATGTGATACACAGTTTTGAAGTAAAATGTACTCACTGTGGAATTAAAATGTTTCTGTTTCACAGACATATTATCTATGGTAATTAAATGTTGAAATATATTAACTTTCCTCCACATTTCCCTGATTTTTTCTTAAATGTCTGTGTTCCTTAAGATTGAATATGTCTATTTTCCTATTTGTTTTATTTTTTGAAAGAAAGAAAC